CCCCTCCCCCTCCCTCTCCCTCTCTCTCCGTCTCTCTCGCGCACTCTCTTGCGTGCTCTCTCGCTCTCTCGCTCTTTCTCGTGCTCTCGCTCTCTCTCGCGCGTGTGCTCTCGCTCTCTCGCGCGCGTGTGCTCACTCTGTCTCTCTCTCTCTCTCTGTCTCTCTCCCTCTCTGTCTCGCTCTCTGTCTCTCTGTCTCTCTGTCTCTCTCTCTCTCTCTCTCTCTCTCTCTAGTGTGCGTGTGCACGCTAAGCCCCCCACACATGTGCACACACCAAGGAGAGGCCATGGGAGCACATAGTGAGAAGGTGTGGATCAGCAAGCCAAGGACACGGCCGTGCTGGCCCCCTGACCTTGGGACTTCTCAGCCAACATTACCGCACAAGCCAGTTCCCCTCCTCTCGCTCCCTTTTCCTGTACGTGTGTGGAGAACCCTGACTAATGCAGACTGTAGTAGTGAGAAGTGGGGCGCTGCTGGGACAGACACCCGAGGAGTAGAAGGAACTTTGGCACTGGGTCCCGGGTGGAGGCTGGAGGAGTTCTGAGGGACACCTTGGAAGTATGAAGCTAGGGCGATCTCTGGTGACGTCTCAGGCAGAGTGAGGAGCATGTTATTGGAAACTAGAGGGCAGTGACTCTTGTTATAAAGCGGCAGGGAACGTGGCTGAAGTGTGTTCTGGTGTTTTGTGGAAGATAAAACTTGCAAGCCAGTGAAACTGGATATTTACCCCAGGAGATTTCTAAGTGGTTTGGAAGGAGTGGCTTGGTTCGTCGGGACTGCTTAGAATAAAATGAGAAAGGGGAGGACGAATTGAAGAAGGAATTGTTAAGTACAAAGGAACCAGAACTTGAAGATTTGGAAAATTCTCAGCCTTTCCACACAGGACGAGGTGAAGGCAGGCTGTTGGACATCTTGGATTTGCCGGGATGGGATGAGAGAGCTGTTTGTAGGAACGTACTCTGTTCTTCGAGAGGGAGAGTGACCCCAGCGGCGACTCGGAGGTCAGCAGGGCCACTGCCGCGGTTTCAACAGGCAAGACGGCCTCAGCCCAGAGCCTTGAACCCCAGCCCAGCGTACCACGGAGGTGACACAGAGTATTGAACCAAAGGGGATTATTCTTGAGCCTTAAGGTCTAATGGAGTTCCCCTTACTAGGTTTTGGACTTGCTTAGGACCCATCACCCTTTCTTTCTTTCTTTCCTTTTTCTCCTACCTTCTGGAGTAGGAATCCTTCTCCTGTGCCTGTCCCACAGCTGTATTTTGGATGCACATAACTTGTCTGCTTTCACTGGCTCACATCCGGAAAGGAATTTTGCCTCAGTGTGAATTATACCTTGAGTTTCACCCACATCTGATTTAGATGATATTTACATGAAACTTTGGGCTTTAGATGAGGGTGTTGATGCTGGTATGAGGTAATAGGACTTTGGGGGCTGTTGGGATGGGATGAGTGTATTTTGCATGGGAGCTTGCCATGAATTTGAGCGGGGCAGCAGGGGTGGGATGCTGTGGACTCTGTTTGGAGTTTGGGCTCTTAGGGGTAATTAAGGTTGAACGAGGCAGTTGTAAGCGTGGGGTCCTGATCCAGTAAGACTGGTGGCCTTGTAAGACGAAGGGAAAGAAGAGATCTCTCTCTCTCTCTCTCTCTCTCTCTCTCTCTCTCTCTCTCTCTCTCACACACACACACACACACACACACACACACACACATGCGTGCACTGAGGAAAGTCCTTGTGAAGACACGGTGCAGAGGGGACCATCGGCAAGAAAGGAAGAGAGCTCTCACCAGAACCTGACCTTGCAGGCACCTTTATCTTGGACTTCCAGCCTCCCAAACTGAGAAAATAAATGTCTGCTGTTTAAGCCCATGTCCGGTGTTTTTGCCACAAGCCTCTTGCCGTAGACACCTTTGCTGTGAAAAATAAAATAACTGATTGACACTTTGGTTTGACAGTTTGGTTTCGGCTGGTTGAAATGCACTAGCATTTCTCCCAGTTAGCGACGTTACTGATGGCTTTATTGGGCTAACAGATGACGATGATTTGCCCTGGTTTCCTATTCCGAAACACACTACATTGGAGGAGAAGGAAGCCGAGGGCCTCAAAGGTGCAGAGCTGAACCCATGTTTCTCGTAGAACTTTGGAACATCTATCAGCGGACGTGGGACCGTATGCCAAGCACACGAACAACAGTGTAGGGGCTTTCCCAGCACAACACAAAGCTCAGCCACAAGTATGCAGCCTAGTATTTGGAAACCAGTATCTCTCTTTTTTTTGGCCGCACCATGCAGCATGCAGGATCTTAGTTCCCCCTACCAAGGATCGAACCTGTGCCCCCTGCAGTGGAATGGCGGATTCTTAACCACTGGACTGCCAGGGAAGTCCCAGCGTATCTCTGTTAATGAAGGAAGAAATTTGGCAAGAAAAAAAAAGTGCAGTGTCAAATGAGGAGACAAATAAACAAGCAAAAAAAAAAAAAAAAAAAAAACTTATGAACAAAAGACTTGGAAGACAAGTGCTTAGGTACAACCTACAAAATAAAATCAGTTATTTGCACAGTGTTGCCATGAATCAATACACATCTTAAATGCATTCACATATTTTGTATTTCACAATAAAGTCTTTATAATTTTGTTACTCACTTCTCATGTTTTATTATGTCCTTTCTAATGTTCCCCTTTCATTTTTCATTATTTTTTTATGGCGAAATTACACACTAGGGAGACAGCTAATAAAGTAGTTACGAATGTTTGTGCCCCCATCCATAAAAGGATTTTCAGGTGTTGAAATTCTGACGCCCAGTGAGATGGTATTAGGAGATGGGGCCTTTGGGAGGTGATTAGGTCATGAGGGCAGAGCCTTTATAATCATGAGATTAGTGCCTTATAAAAGAGCCTGCAGGAGGATCCCTGGCCCCTTCTGCCACGTGAGGACACGGTGAGAGGTCAGCAGTCTACAGTCCCGAAGAGGGCATGACCAGAACCCGGCCATGTTGGTACCCTGACCTTGGACTTCCAGCCTCTAAAACTGCAAGACAGTAATTTCTGTTGTTTATAAGGCACGCAGTATGTGGCATTTTGTTACAGCAGCCCAAACAGACTAAGACTTCAGTGAAGGAAACGAGCAAATGGTATGGTATGTAGCAGTGGTTAACAAGGGTAGGTCAGTGTGGAGTTGTGTTACTGAACTTCCTCAGGTCTGTGGACTGGCTCTGTGCTCACGGACACGCGAAAGTGTTCTGTGAGGTCACATGCCTGTTTGAATCATGGCCAAACCTCCTTTGATCCAGGAATAATTTGCGATTAATTATAAATGCAGTGGTAGAAGGCACTGCTCGGGGGGCGTGGTGGAACTCAGATGCACAGCACTCTGGCTCGCTGGGTGCCGGAGCTGTGCCTCCTGATGCAGGCAGCACTTTAAAGGGGTGACGTAGTGACGGGCTGGGCGTCAGCAGCCTCCCTGCTGAGTTGTTCTGCTTTGCCTCCTGTGGCCTCGGAGAGGCCCCTGTTCACAGATGTCATCTCCACATGCTCAGAAACTTGGCGCCGAGTTTGAATTAACAGACTCATCCTTTCCAGTATAAACAGCCCTTTTGAACGATCTGATCACTCACGTTCTATAAATTAGTTCACGTGCCTTTTTCTATTACCTGGCAAGGCTCTCGGAGCCTGGAGGGATGAGGCTTTGTCAGCAAAGTGATTCTGAAGCACGGGGTACTTCTAGTGAGGGCAGAGCTGGGTTTCGGGGGGTTTTGGGGGGTGAGGGCGTGAGGAAGGCAGCAAAGGAGAAGGGATTTGGGGAGGATGTTAAACGTGAACTTCCTGTACTCTGCGGTTTGGTGACAGCCTGCTCTGTGCACATCATCTTCTGCCTGATGGCCAGCTGGCCCCCATACAGGCACCTCAGCGGAGCCCACAGCTACCGCCGAATGTTCTACTGCGTGGGTCTCCTTCCAGCCATTGCTCGAAGCAAGCCAGCAGCTCCGGCAGGTGGAAAAGCCAAGGCCCACCGGCAACCTTGTGGCACTTCCAAGACCACCTGGCATCCATACGTAAACTTCTGGGAGTCCCTGAAACAGACCTGACGTGGGTCTTCGTCCAGAGCAGGCCTGGAACCAACCGGGGTCTTCCTAGGTCCCAGGTCAGCAGCAGGCCCTCAGGGGAGTCACTGAGTCAGCAAGCCCCTTGCTTGGCGTGGGTTCCGGGACCGCCGCAAGCCTGTGTGGCCCCAGATGGCTGCCTGGTGTGTCATGAGGCGCAACAGCACAGCCATTTTGGCTCCAGCCTTCCGCACAGTAAACAGGGCCAGACTGTTTTGTACATTCCAGAGGCATTAAAATTCTTGCCCACTTTGATAGCAGTAGAAGTAAGTGCCTACTTTTGCTTAGGAAATGTAAGAGCATAAAAAGGTAGATGGAAAACAATGTCCTGCTCCTTTCTGTTTCAACCTCTAGACTTAAAACTGATGGCCTGTTAGAGTCAGTCTGTCCTCTGGTTTCTAGTAATGACCATTGTTAGGGTCTAATTGACATTACTCCCCTAAATTTTGCTGGTTGGTGTCTTACCAGATGAAATCTATGGAAACAGCTTGATTTCCACGATGATTGACAGCTGCAACTGCTCAGACTCCAGTGACATTGAACTGAGTGATGACTGGGCTGCCAAGAAGTCTCCCAAAATCTCCCGAGCTAGCAAATCACCCAAACTCCCAAGGTAATTTCGGTCTTTAGGGGTGCGCTCCATTTTTTTGTGTCTCCGAAGGTGTGTCTGTTGTGTCTGCAGCAGAATCCCACTGAAACCAGCAGCTGAAGAGCACAGCCAGAGGGCGTCGTCGCCTTTCATCTGGAAGATCTGCCCGCAGTAATCACAGCTTCCTTCATCCTTGCCTTTGGGATAGAAAAAGACATCCAGTAGGAAGTCTGCTAAACCCGCAGACCTTCCAGGGGTGGTTAGTTAGCACTGATGGTGGGTGGCATGGGGTGGCCACAGCCAGGGAACTTGTTTTACCTTCCAGTTTGAGAAAAGTAAGAAAAATCTTTTTACAGTGTATGTAATGTGTTAAAGAAAGTGCAAAATTACATGCCTATAATTCTGTAATAGGGAAAAAATAGTGAACTAAAACAAATTAGACCCTAAAGTTTGTCCTAAGGAGTGGCAGAAAGCTGAGAGGAGGTGGAAGGGCCTATGGTGTTGTAGATGAGAAACCCCACGTGCCCCATCCTGGCTCCCTGACCTGGACACCACTTTCCTTACCTATGGAAGTTAAAGGGTGGACCAGATCTTCACTAAGATCCCTCTGTGATGCTGTGCAAAACCAAGGTATAATTCACGTACAGATAGAGTCCCGCCCGATCTTAAACACATAAGCACGGTGTAGTTGATAAACCAGTGTATTCACACCCCGTTGAAGATGAGATTTCCATCACCCTGGAGGGTTCCCTGGGCCCTTCCTGTTTGATACCTGCACTGTTCTGACTTCTGTTGCCGTAGGTTGCTTTTGCTTGTTCTTGAACTTCATATGGATGGCGTCAAACGATACATGCTCTTTTTTTTCTTTTTAGGCTTTTTTGCTCAACATAATGATTTTGATTCATGCATGTCGTTGCGTATATCAACAGCTTCTCTTTCTTTGCTCTATGAAATTCCCTTGTTACGAATATACTATAATGTATTCCATTTACCAATTGATGGATATTTGGTAGTTTCCAGTTTGGAGCTATTATGAATAAAAACCAACTGTAGACGTTCTTATACAAGACTTGCTGGGGACATATGCACTTGTTTACCCCATATGCACTTGTTTAGGAGGGGAGTTGCAGGGCCATGGGGTAGACATATGTTTAACTTTATGGGAAACTGCCAAACAGTATTCCTAGGTGCCTGTACCATTTTAAATTCCCACCAGCAGTGTATGAGAGTTCTCACTGCTTCCATTCTTACCTGCGGTTGAAGGTCATTTAAAAAATTGTATGCATTCCGGTGGGTGGGAAGCGGTATTTGGTTGTATTGGGTTGGCCAAAAAATTCGTGTGGGTTTTTCCATATGATCTTATGGGAAACCCGAACAAGCTTTTTGGCCAACCCAATAGTTTAATCCTAGTTATCTCCAGTGATTAATGATGCTAAGCAAGTTTTCATATGTTTGTTGGCCATTTGGGTATCTTCTTTTGTGTTTTCTAACTATGAGTCCTTTGGCAGATATATGGATTATCATATAATCTAATATCTGAATTTCTTCTTTTATGATTAGTGCTTTTTTTTTGTCCTGTTTAGGAAATCTTTGTCTACCCTAAGGCCATGAAGACATTCTTCTGTTCTCTTCTGGATGCTTTGTAAAGTCTTAGCTTTCACATTTCGCTCTCAGATTAATTTTATACCGCAGATTAATTTTTGTGTAAACATGAGTTAGGGGTAAATGTTTGTGTTTTTTCCCACGTAGATATCCATTTGCTCTAGCAACCTGATTGATTTCTTTTTTCATCTTTATTCTAAGCTTGTTAATTTGCAAATTAGATTATGAACTTTCCTACACTTCTGCAGTGTTTCCGCTTTTCCCATTACTTAAGCAGAGAGGCCATTTAACACATAAGTAGTCAAATCCTTCACGTGTAAATGTCCATTTGAAGTTCCTGGGCGTGGCAGACTCCAGAGCTGGTCCTCCTTCCTTCCGTCTTTCCCAGCGTTGAGTCCCCTACACACAGCAGCCAGGCTGTTGTCCTCGCACGGAGATTTAACCAGCTCTGTCTTCCTCAGCCCTAGATATCTTATCAAGCTCTCAAGCAGTATATGTGAGGCCTCATGGTTTTCCTTCATAGAACGCCATCAGCCTTACCATGTTCATTTTTATAATACTCTCTTTGGGGTAGATTGGCATTAAACACGTATGTTCCCCATGTCATAAGCATAGGATCTGAAGACAAACTTTAGATCTACGGATCTAATTTAAATATTGCAGGTGGTGGAATGCTAGATAAGTCTGTTGAATTCCAAACATTATGTATTAGGAATTGTGAAATCATTGTGGTCTTAAGGTGAGAAATAACTTTTCCCACCCACCATTTTCCCGGGACTAATTTTGTAAATCCCCTTCGTCAATAGGAAGTAAAAGTTCATTCTCAGGGGTTCCTTACAAGTGAATCGCTTCATCCAACCGCAGTATACTTTAAATATATACTATTTGATATACGATTCTGTCCTTCTTACCTCATGTTCGTAAGGCAAAAGCAGGTGGGAGGGACTTGATTAAATTAAGGGCCCAGCCTCTCAGAGAGTGACACCACAGGGGGCTGCTAGAAAGTGAGGAGGGTCCGGGAGCGCCGGTGGGTGCCTGACCCGTGGCCTCGTCTCTGCAGGATCAACATTGAGGCTCGGAAGTCCCCCAAGCTGTCGCGTGCGGCTCAGGAGATATCCCGGTCTCCTCGCCTGCCCATGCGCAAGCCGTCCATCGGCTCGCCCAGCCTGACGCGGAGGGAGTTTCCCTTTGAAGACATCACTCAGGTAGTGTCTTGAGCCCCGCCACGCACCCCTCCTCGTGCGTGCATGACAGCGGCTGAGCCCTCGGGACCGTCTGCGTGCCTGGGACGGCAGTGCCCAACCCGGGTGCCCTGGAGAAGAGCCCTGGTTGCCCCCCTCGGTGCCCCTGCCACCTCTTCATCCCGCTGGGCCTCCCTCCCACCTTGGGCATCCCTTCTGCTGCCACAAGAACCTTCTCCCAGGCAGCTCTGCTTGAGACATATCCTCACGTCCACCTCTGCTCCCTCAAAGCGCTCCTGACCCCCCAGTGACTCCCAGTGTCTGGGGGAGCCCAGCCCCGGATGCGGCCCCTCAGTCTGGCCTGCCTGTCTCCCTCCTGGTCCCCCTCACCCCGGGGGCCGCAGCCTCACTGTTGACTGGCCTCTTCCCACCTTTGTGCCTTTGCCCCGCCTGCGTCTCCATCTCCGGGTCAACGGGCCCATCCTCTCATCTCCTCCCCCTTGTTTCTGCCTTCACGCTTCCAGATACAAGTTCACCTCCATGCCGAAGCCTTCCTTCCCTGACTCAGCCCGAGTAACGCAAAGCATGTTGTCGATAGCTCCCTTATAACATTGCTCAGTGACTCTGTCTGCAAATAATTGTGAGCCTGACCGCCTCCATTAGCTTATGAGCTCTCTTGAGTGCCTGTGTGTGTGTGTGTGTGTGTGTGTGTGTGTGTGCGCGCGCGCGCACGCGCGCGCATGTGCACGCGCGGGGGTGGGGGGAGGTTTAAGTGTAATTGACCTACAACACTATGTTAGTTCCAGGTGTACGATGTAGTGATTTGATACTTTTATACATTTCAAAATGGTCACTGTGATAAATCTAGTTACTGTCTGTCACCATACAAAGTTATTACAACATTATTGACAGTAGTCTCCATGCTGTACATTTCATACCTGTGATTGATTTATTTTGTAACTGGAATTGTAGCCCTTAATCTCCCTCACCTGTTTCACTCATCCCCGCACCCTCCCCTCTGGCAACCACCTGTTTGTTCTCCAGGGGTCTGTTTCTGTTTTGTTGTATTTGTTCATTTGGTTTGTTTTTCACAGTCCACATATAAGTGAAATCACACAGTATTTGCCTTTCTCTGTCTTATTTCACTTAGCATATACCCTCTAGGTCTATCCATGTTGTTAACAAATGGCAAGATTTCATTCTGTGTTATGGCTGAGTTATATTCCTGTGTGTGTGTGTGTGTGTGTGTGTGTGTGTACCACAGCTTCTTTATCCATTCATCTATTGATGGGTAATTAGATTGCTTCCACGTCTTGATTATTTTAAATAATACTGCAGTGAACTTTGGGGTGTGCATATCTTTTGAAATTAGTGTCTTGGGAGTTTCACTTTCAGAACAATACCCAGAAATAGAATTGCTGAATCATATGATAGTTCTATTTTTAGTTTTTTGAGCAACCTTCATACTGTTTCCCACAGTGGCTGCACCAGTTTGCATTTCTACCAACAGTGTTGGAGGGTTCCCTTTTCCTGAGGAGCTAGATTTTATTCATCTTTATTATTGCCCTTGCACATGTGTACACACACACCCTACACATATGTGTGGTTTGAGCACAGTGATAACTTTTTAAGTTTTTTGAAATTTAATTGAATGAAAAAACATAATTGGGTGGTCTCAGGACACAGTGGTATCAATGCAACTGGTATTTCATGGTATTTCATGAAATATCAAGGCTAAGAATGGAGTCAGAGCTTGGTACCTTGTGTAATAGATCAGTGACCGGGGCAAAAGGAGAGGTGAAGAAAAATGTGCCCACGTCACTTTTGTGACCTTTCTAAGCTACCCACACACGGGCACACTGGGACACCGTCCGCCCCTCACTCCCAGACCTGAGAATCACAGCCCGTGAGCCACCACTTAAAAACAGGGCCTGGCATGCTGTAGTTGGCGTCTGGTATTGAAAACGGTGGAATGATACAGAGAATGAATATTTGTCAGTGACCACCAGCGACTTTTTAAGCAAAAAGTGCTGGCATTCTTACTTCTTAAGTGATTGATAGAAAATATGCAAAGAGATTGTGGTTTTTCTTCTTTCCCCCCCCCCCCCCCCCCCAAATGTCAGTGCCCCCAAGTGTCTGTCCACAATCATTCCCATTACTAGTGGTTATAAATTTTTGGAAA